ATTTCTAAATTCGATCTACTATGAGTATGATAATTGAACGACTCTGTGTTGGCCTGTAAAACAAGGAAGCGAAAGATAGTGTGGCAGGATAATTAATAAGAGAATGCTAATTAGAAGAGGATAATTAAAACGCCAAATTCTCCTCTATTTCAATAGATACAACTACCCTTAGAAAGTGTTAATTATTTGCATTTTAAAATTATCTCGAAATGCAAAACAACGACATGTGATGAAATTAGCATTATCCAGACATTTGGGATGCGTGTTTTGGGGTAGAAAGGCGGGCATTGTGTCGCGTGAAGAAATTGTTGAATGGTAACTGTTGATAGTACTTTGGATCGTTTGTGAGGTAGAAGGCAGCGTAGGATAGTTGGTGAAGCGTAGATCCCAAGACTCGTAGATCCCAGTATGAAATTCACTTGGAGCGTGGACTTTGCTAATTAGTGCCGACGTCGTTTTTGCAAGCACGGAAGAACGGGGAAACTCGTTTAATTCGTGCCATTTCATTCCGAAGATAATTGCTCGGATGAATTTCCGTCGAACCGGAGTTTACTCCAATTGTGTTTCGATCCAACTTTCCTGCCAGTCAAGATTTCGTCGCGTCGTTGTTTCATTATTCCGCAGATATGCTTCGCATTGTTGTCTGCCCTAATGAAAAACTCGGGGGGGGAAAAATCGAGAATTGCCGGGATATATAGGTTGAAGGTTAAAAGAGAAATTATTAACGAAAAAGCATCGTTATTGTGTGTTTTCATTGACCTGTTTCTATCCCTTCTTTTCTAATCATTACCTATTCATCATTCCGAAGGTGATGATTTACATAATAGGAATAAGTAATAAGAATTTCTTAAGCGTGTAATTTATGTTTATGAAAAAAATGTTACTCTATACCTCTAATATGTAATATATTTATTATATAAATTTAATTTTAAAAGTAAAAAAATTAGTAAGTAAATATCTTTATGCGATTAAAATTTTTATACTATAGTTTGTATGTAAAAGTATACCTTAATCTAAAAATATTACCTCTCATAAAGGATACTATTTTCCACTTGTTTATTTTATGAATTTAATGTATCTCTGTAACGAGAATATGCGAGTGTCTTTCTGATTAGTACTTTTCATTAGTTGCTGTTGGTAATTACTTCCACAAAGGGTTCGGTCATTTTGATTTTATCCAAATATTTCAGTAGTTTCAATATAGCACTCATAAAATCCAGTCAATGCGACACACACGGATAAAAATCTCTGCAAGCGTTGAAACACATATCCACCAGATAACGAGTATTCAGAGTAATTTATGGACCGTATCCTATTGTAGTTAACTGAAACTTTGGGCATATGTATTATGCCCTGATTGTCAGCATATTTGATTTATGTGATTTTTCGATGATTCGCCGGAAATGATTGGGGAACTTCACACCATACAATTTCTCTTCGTATCACTATACAGATTCATCAGTTTATATATGTTGATACATTTCGTAATAATATATATTTTGTTAATCAATGTAACTGTTGAAATAATTTACAGTAAGTTATAATTATACTCATTTCAAATAACAAAGGATCCTTATTTGTCAAAGAATATTCATTTCGAAAATTTTTATTTCATTTTATTCAATATCACGTGTAATTTTATCTAAATAAAAATGAGACAAAGTTATATTTCAATTGCACAAGTTTTATAAACGGTCTTTCAATAAAGTGCTAATGGTATTGAATGTAAGAAACGTTCAGTCAGTCTGTGAATCAACACTGAAGATAAAATTAGATTAAGGTCACATTTTTATTTTTGCTTTTCCACGAATGCTATGTAATAATAATTGATACAAAAGATATAAGGATATAAATAATTTTTGAAAAATATTTCATAAATTCTATCGTAAAATTCAATGAATCGTTAAACGAAATTACTACTATGAAAATTGATAGCATTGAATACACAGTATATATTAAGTATGCAAGCATCATAAACTAAAATGCAGTCGACGATGTGTCGTTATTTATGTATATATAATTGGCTTTTGTATGTAGAGTGAATTATTTGTAATTTTATTAATATTGATTTACCAACCTGCATTAATTGGAAATTTTTGCATCTATTTTTTGCGAATACCCTGAATACTTCCAAATTTGTTAAATAATTTTCAACAATAAGTCTGTATATAAAATACATTTGAAGTTACTTATATCACAAAGTCACTTATATTATAAAGCGTTGATATTTTTAAAGTGCACGAAATTTAAAAACATAATTAATTTTCCTTGAAATTTCAAAATTTTAATTAATTATAAGATAATAAATATCATTATAAATCTACATAAAATTTCAATTTATATTTATCATTTGA